TATATTTCAGGTGTTGAATAGCTTTTTAATAGACAGTATTTTCAGGTAACTCTAGCCACATAGGCAGCTGTACTGAAGCATACTGGTATCAGCCAGCAATAATGGCACCTGCAGGAATGAACCTGAAAATACTGGTAATCTTGTATATTTTTTAAGTTCTTTAAAGAGATTTTTAAAAACAGAAAATGAGATTTGATCAGTGAAGGTCTTTATCTTCTGCAACACAGGTTGCAATAGTCTTTTCTCTTTATTTCACTTATTAAATAAAAGGGAATTTGGGTGCCATCTTTCTGTAAACTTTTAGTGTGTTCTCTGTAATCTTTCCCAGGTCTTTTAGTGGATAGTGCAGTGAATTTCTGATGGCAGTTTGAAAATAACATAGAATATGTGGCATAGCCTACGTCACTAATACTTTTCCAAGTTTAAACCTGTATTCAAACATGTAGAATACTAGCTTGTTACTGCAGAGTTCCAGACTTCCAGCTTAGCTTAATTTTGTAGGTGGGCTTAACTTGTGCAGAACACTTCTCCATGTACAGATGCTCAGTCCTCTTTCTTAAATAGAAAGAGGAAGTGTCTTGGAGGAAGAAATTGTGTGTCAAGTTAACTCCTGTTCATACTTCATAGACAGTCATCCATAAAGCACTGTGATTTGGGTTCAGAATGGGGGTTGTGTTTTTCTCATGAATGCTCTTTCTGGATACACAAGAATTGCCAAATGATGATAAGAATACTGTAAGGGGAGATAACTATTTTATGGTATCAGAAGTTAGACTAACTGAAATCCTTTGAGCCAACTTCTTCAAGCAAAAAGGGAACTTGTAAAACAAGGTTAGCGCAGCTGTTAGCCATGGTGGTATTCTTTAGAATGCTTCACATTGTTTTAAACCCTGTTGAATACATTTTCTTTTGTGTGATGAGTAAGCAGTTGCATCCTTTGTTAACGCTTATTCCCTTCAATCTAAAACCTGGGGAATGAGGTACTTTAGGATGTCAGTGAAGATACCCTCCTTTTGAAAAGTATGATACTACAGCAAAGGAGAAGTGCTAGTTATAGATTCTTAAAAATTACCTTAGTACTTAAAAGATGGGACAGAAAATATTTCTTACACTGAACTTCTGATGGCATGCTTATGTGGATTAGTGGAGGAAATAATGGTGTCACTAGGATCTATGTACTCCCATTGTACGTGTGTTTTATGTGGTAACAGTGAACAAATGTCTCCCTGCAAATTCTGATGTTTTTCCAAAAGGCAGCTTGCTTTTATATCTATGCATCTTTGAAGATTTCAAGATAAGATTTTATTCTTTTGACACTGTAAAGAGGAACTGTTTAAAAATGAACTTGGAAACTCTGCACCTGTACACAAATTTTTTAGCAATAAAGCAGCACAGGCTGAGAATGCACTAGAACTGGATGTGTCATTTGTTCAGAAGACAAATTAACTGGCTTACTATACACTCCACTTCTGAGATGTGTTTGTACTTGCTGTACCTTTGTCAGAACTTAACCATTTGAGCTAAACTCAATATGCTGGATATCTGCTTTGGGTCAAGGTGTTGCAGCAGACTTCAGGCAAAAGAGCCTCTGACTTCTTGGAAGGCAACTAAAGCAGAATGGTTACTCCACTCATAGTAAGATGGGCGACTTACCAGACAAAAGCTTCAAGGGTTGTTTTTGACAGTAGCAGAAAGCTTCTGTTGCTTGTATAGATTGTAGTAAGCCCCTCAGAAAACTGTTCCATGTATGTGGATTGTCTGTTGTTGTGGCAACTACATTTGTGAAAAATTCCTTCTGTGGTTGGCATGTCACAGGCTGCAGAGAGGCATAACTTTCCTTGCAGTTGCTGCTGACAGCAGTTTTGGGAAGTGCTGTAATGCAGCAGCACCACAGCACCTCCTGAGGACTGTGCCAAAGCAGTCACAGCTCCCAACCTTCCTACAAGCTTTCCAAAACGTGTTATGGATTGCTAGCCCTTATGCTGGTTTATAGAAGATTCACAGTATCATTGTTACTTCAGTAGCCTCTTCAACCTCCTTAATTTGTTTCATTTTCTGGTTGGTTTTGTCTTTAGATTCCAGAGAAGACAGCTGATGGTTAGCTAATGTAAGAAGGCCTGACCTTGAGACTTGCTATGTAGTTGATAATCATTTAAATGGGGAATGCATCCCTCCCAAGGCAGGCTGGCCCTGGCTGCACTTAAAGCTAGAACACATCCCTCAAGATGCCTAGTTAGGGGCAATCAGGTTCTACACTAGAATAAGAAAAAGAAATTCAAATCTGGGACAGGCTCTGTCTTTCAGAAATAAAAGTTTATAAGCATCACTTAAATAAAAATGCACCCCTAGGTTTAAGGTGATACCTCAGGTAAATATTCATCTCCAATTACTGAAGATAATGTATTTACTTTATAGGGCTTTCTTCTTAAACCAGAATTTCCTTAGAACACTGTACTGCTGAGAGTGTCAGCCAGGCAATAGTCAGTGCCAAACAGGCATGAAGCACCACAGCTTGACTCAACAGAGCAGAGGTCCTCCCAGTTCCAAAGATTAGAGAAAGAGTTTAAAAAAAAATCTACCATCTCTTATTTAGCACATATACTTGTTATTTATTTAAATTCATGCTAAGTAATGTGAGGAACCATCAATTTAGTGCTTCATGAATGAACCAGGACCAAAGCAAGAAAAACAGATGGCTTTTTTCTGCAAACATAATCTAAGGAAAACAAGTGGCCTTATGCCTCACATGGTATTAGCTGTGATCTCCACAGTATCTATTTCTGAATTTCAGCTTTTTATTTAAAGTTTCTTCTTTACAACTGTAAAGATAATACAAAAAACCATAACTGACAGCTTGCTTTCCCTTGTGGACACATAGCTAAATGAAGCAAGATGATTTAACACAGTAGCGATGTAAGATATAGAGAAACAGTCTCAATGCTGAAACCAGAATGAAAAGGTAAAAGTGAGTAGTCCTGTTATCAATCACATTTTTTAGACTGATGCAACAACAAAGGGGCTGTTGCTTAGGAAGTAACACAGAGGTGAAGATATACAATGGAAAACACTGACCCAAGATGGGAAGATGCTTGCACAAAATGAGCTTAGGCACAAGACCCCAGTTAAAGACCAACAGGCCCTTAAACATGCAGAAGTCACTGCACAACACAACTTCAAACACGCCTTTGTTCTTAATAGTGAAACGATCAAATAGAGCAAATCCTAACTTTACACGCATGTACAGTGACAACTGTTAAGAACAACCTTCTAGTTGAGGGGCAAGGATACAGCTCATTTTAGAGAAGATAACAGTTATCATTACAGGCAATGAAACAGATCTTACAAGAGTGTAACATTTACTTCACGTAGTTACTTTGATAGCCCAAATTTAGCTGGCATTGAAAAGCACTGTATTTTTGCACGTAACGCCTGTCAAATTTGTAAAACACAAATAGTAAAAATAATTTAGATAGCATATAGTATTAGAATTTAACAGAGAGGGCCCCTCCTCTCCCTGCAGAATGGCTGTTGATATTCTATGTTATTGCTTAATCAGAACAAACTGAGACAACCTGAACTCTTCTTCAAAAATCAGCACAGTAAACATTAGTAGTAGTCTAAGTACCAGCTGCCCACCTAAAGCCTCTGAGGTGCCTTGCAGTGAGTTCTGTCCCCTCTGCTCCAAGCCCATTACAAGTTTTTTTACACATAAAACATTTAAGACAGTTAAATACAGTGTGTAGCAGCACCAGCAGCGAGGGGGAGTGTAATCTGCCAATCACATACGGAAGTTGAAGTAAGGGAACAGCAAATTGCATCACTGGAATTAAGTTGATCAAATAAATACAATTCTCTCTAGACTATTAGAGACAACTGCTAAACTTTATGGAAGGTTTAAAACATCAGCTCTTTAGGCAGCAAAAGGGAGAGGAAAAGGACCCTTCATCTTCCAACCGACAAGAATTAGGGATAAAGTTACTCTGTCCCAATAACAAGGGGTAAGTAGCATTTGCTCTTTGCCATCAAATTATTTTCTACAGGTTTGGAAAGAAGCAGAGCCCATTCGAAACAAGAGAGAAATGCTAATGAGTGCCCATTAGGTATTTTTTATAAAACATCTTGACTGGCCAAGTGAATCACCAGGCAGATCATCACTTCAGCAGAGCGGTGTTCTCACGATTGCGAAGTGAAGGATGAAAGACTGTTCTTTGTTCACAACTTCAGCCCCCAACAGAAAGGCTCAAATCTGTTCAAGGCAGTTGCTCACAGTCTAAGCTTCAGGGAGCTGCCAGAACCTGGCTGTCCTGCGCAGCCACAGGGCTGCACTTCCAGAGGACTTGGCAGGCACGGGGGTTGCCCTTGACTTTGAAATCCAAAACCCTGCACTCCAGCCAGCATTGTGCCATCCACATCCATGCGCTGAGCACACTGTGCAGCTTCTGTAGCATGCTAGCTTGCTCCTTTTGCAGGCCACACGCGCAAGCAAACCTAAAAGAACAGATTAGGAGGCCATTTAGCAGTGCCTGACATACCAGATGTAGCTAAGGAGCCACTCAGCCAACAGCTGGCTGCCATTAACACTGCATCTATAGCAAAAGGCAGGACAAGATCTTCAGATCGTTGTAAGAATGTTCAGTTTACAATAGCTCCTCTTAAATACCATCTTGTTTGTACGTTTTGTGTAGTTCCAGAAACCTGGTTTTAGTACTTCAAAGGCTATTCTTCCCCCTGAAGTCATCAGAGAGAATCAAAGTCATAGTTATACTGTCCCAGAAAGTTATGTGCTGCACAGGTGAGCTATTCAGTTTTCCAAGCACAACTTCAGTCTGTCAGATTTTCAGTGCATTGAAGGGATGCACTTAAGCATTGGTTCCTTCCGTACACAGATAAAGTGACAGATCAACACTCAAACCCATTCTGGTTTCATCATAACGAACAAACTCAGCAGAGATGCAGAAACAACTCCAGCAGTTCTTGAAAATGGCGTATTATTAGCTGACCCTGACTACCACATATCCTGGTGGAAGACTAACTGGATCTGATGCAACGCTTCGCCTTTCTGCCACATCATTCTTTTGTTCCAGTTCCTCCAGCTTCTTCATCAGCAATTCTATGCGAATGTGGACCTTCACAAGCTTTTCTTTCAGCTAGAAAAAGAGAGAAACAAGAGTATTAGAGAAAAGTGTCCTAACGCTGATCTTTTTGAATGATCTGCACCCCACTTTCAGTGGCTAAAGAGCAGCTGACTTTCAAGATGGAAGATTACACTGGGCTTTAAACTCTACACTGCGTGTCTAGTACAGCCCAAACTGGCACCCAAATCAGAGGCCTGTGCTAAAAAGAGGAGACAGATTAATGTGTGCCAGTGCGACCCCTTCCAGAGATTATGGAAATACTCTGCTGTAGGAGAGAGTTGTTGGAGCCTTACTGCGATCGATACAATCTTTCCTGCTTTGGCAGTATCTGGACAGACTGTTTCTCCATTAGCTTAGGAATACATGGGGTCAGTCCCTCAAAAATGTCATTTCCAGAGCCTGAGGGTTAAGTTAGCACACCTAAAGCACAAGAGTAAAATCCTGCTGACGTTATGTCTCAAAAAACAAAGACCAGGTTCTCGCACTTCTTCTAGTCAGCAAGCAAACTCTCCATGGTCACATACTTTGTGTTTGCAATGAAGTACTACCATATTTTTTTTACTTCATAAAAACATGTCTCTACTATAGAAGCCTTGCCTGGATAAGATTTTTGCATTTTAGCCTCTCTTGACCTATAAAACCACTGTGATCTCATGGTAAGGCACTGGAAGACGACTTTAAAGAGGACAAAACTTCAGGAATGTCACAGGCCCATTTCCATGCTTAGACCAGAAACTAAGAAAGAAAAAAAAAAAGTAAGGAACAAATAAGCCTATAAATACTGGATACACTGGCTCTGTCTTACAGTAACTTTATTTGAACTATGGGACAGACAATTTGCTAAGTTAACAACTAACCAAGTTACGGAAAAGAACATCCAATTTAAACACCAAAAAACCCGAGGGAGGTTCTAGTGTTGTCTCTGAAACTACAAGTAAATATTACCATGCTGTTTTGAGCCCACGTAGCCACAAATACACCTGTGCTAGAATCCCCTTCAAATTAACAAATTGTTCTTTTTTAAAGTCTTCAACAGTGATTTATCAATCCTAGGGACAACACGAGTAGTAATTCTTAGGTGAAGTCTGTCTAAGTGATTCTTGGGTTTTTTTCTTTTCAAAGCGTGGAGTTAAAAGGATAACACACTTTTGCCAGAAGATTAGCTAGAACTGGCTATGTTTTGCAGATAAGTTGTTCTAGAAAGTTTTGCATGTCTCACACATTAAGTCAGTCACTGTACTAAAAGTCAGCATTTTCTCCATCTTATGAACTTAAAAAAAAAAAGCAATTGTTTCAATATTTTTGGACTAACATCTAAAAATATCAGCATTTCAAAAAGATTTTCTATACAAATTAATGTAGAAACCTTACTTCCTGCAGTTGTTTCTTCAAGGTCACAGCAGGAAAATTCACCTTAGAAGCTTCTATTATCATTTGGTTTTGTAAGAGGTAACTGGAAAACAAAAAGCAAAAGGGAAAAAAAAAAAAAACAAGAAAAACAATTAAAACCCCCATAGTTACAGTCATTGTTTATCCAGATTATTTGAGATGATTTTAAAGCAGATACAAAGTTGTTGCCAAAAGTACTCAATACTTTATGAAAATACTAACCACTTAACGATGGTTTTACTTTGAAATTGTTAGATCCTCTCATCACCAGCTGTAAGTTGTTTACAGTTTCTATAGTCAAGTCCTCAATCCATCATGAAACTACTTTGATACCTTACACTAGTTAAGCGAATCTGGAACTTAAGATTTCAGCATTGCAAACAACTAAATTTAAACCTTGACATCACATGAGGACACTCAAGAAGCACAAAGCAAATCAAACGGTGTCACACCAACACAAACAATTTAAAGACAGAGGATATTAAAATCCCACACCAATGTGCTCAGTCAAAATTAAAGCCGCTTTTGTTAGCTGTAGATGAGTTCTACAGCCCTTTGCAATAGCTTACAAATTCCCACTCATGAATAGAGCAGCAGAAGTCACTCATTATCAGTGTGAAAAAAAACCCAACAAAACAACAAAAGAAACCCCGAACTGAGATGTTTTAATTTAGGTAACAGACCTTTCAGGGAAGGAGCAGAAGAAAGAGACCTAAAGGCTCAGCTTCGCTCAAATGTTCTTCACCAACAAAGGTTAGAGCAGCAAAACTTTTGAGTTTAACAGAAACAAATTCCCCCAAAATCACTGACTGTAAGGATACAGTACACTCACCAGAAGATGCTGTCCTTGAAGAAACAGAAGAAGTCTCGGAGATACGCCAGGTCACTGGTGGTAGAATAAAGCATGAAGCCCACGATCACACCACATGACCGACAGGATAACTCCTTGTAAGCACTGAAAGGAGAATGGGAAAAATATTATTAAACAGAACCTTCTGAAACCATAGATACTGCATGCTTGACAGAGGACACTGAAACTTCAGTTCTACCAGGACAGCAAAACAAGACACAACAATGCTTTCTCCTTAAAGAAACAATATGTACAAAGGGAACGTGAATATAAAAAGTTGGGCACGTTTTGCAAGAAATAATCTCCGTAATAAGTGAAGTTGCAAGTAAGGAAGAAAACACATGTCTTATTACCACTGAGCGGGTTAGGCTATGCTACTCAAACATGATTTAACTGGTAAAGCAATGTCTGTGTCGGGTGGTAGATGTGAAATTTCCTGCTGGTAAAACGAAGTATTGGCTCATGCAGAGAGAGGGGAAAAAAGCAAACCCAAACAAGTCTCATATTAAAAAAGTTCCTAGCCCTTGTAGCTTGTAAAATAGCCTTTAAACATCATTCAAACAAACTACTGGTTCTGTAAGCCCGCAGGTGATATTACATCCTTCTCATCAGACTAGGCCCAGAGTTACCAAACCTGTTGCTAACTGCAGGCTCATGAATAGAGCAGCAGAAGCTACCCATTATCAGTGTGAAAAAAAAACCCAACAAAACAAACCCCGAACTGAGATGTTTTAATTTAGGTAACAGACCTTTCAGGGAAGGAGCAGAAGAAAGAGACCTAAAGGCTCGGCTTCGCTCAAATATTCTTCACCGACAAAGGTTAGACCAGCAAAACTTTTGAGTTTAACAGAAATAAAGCTACATACCTACAAAAGGTTTCTCCATCCGACATGATGAAGCCCGGGTACAAAAAGCACTTCGGAGTTTACCAGGCCCGGAGGAAACCCCAGGGCACAAGTCAGAGGAGCTCCCGGCTCCCAGCTCTGCCGAAGCCCGGTTTTGCCCACAAAATGTACCGCGGCGACTGTTCCCGGCAGGCCCGGTGCCAAAAGCAAGAACTAGGTGAGCTACGCACCATCCCAGGAGGGCTCCCTCCAGGCCGATCATGAGTGAATCCTCCCACACTACGCCGTTAGTCACTTCTGAGGAGAAAGTGAGACCCGCTGAAACTGAGACCCCCGTACCAACCCCGCCCCGGCCGCCCCCCGTGCGCAAGGCAGTGAACCGCCCGCTCACTCCGCGGCCTCGGG